GGGTTCGAGCCCCGCATCGGGCTCTGTGCTGACTGCCAGCTCAGAGCCTGGAGCCTATTTCAGACTGTGTATCTCCCTCTCTCTCTGGCCCTCCCCTGCTCATGCTGTCTCTCTCTCTCTCCTAGAAATAAATAAAAATATTTAAAAAAATAAAATAAAATAAAAGTTTGATATTAATATAAAGACAGAAAATAGACTAAGAGAAGAGAATAGAGAGACCAAAAAAAAATTCACCCATCTACAGTCAAGGTCAACTGATTTTTGACAAGAGTACTAAGGATATATATTTTGAGGGGACAGTCTTTTCAACAAATAATGCTGGAAAAACTGGACATCCCTATGTGAACCTGGACCATCATCTTAAACCATACACAAAGATCAACTCAAAATATGTTAAAGATTTGAAGACTTGAAACTGTAAGTTTCTTAGAGCAAAACATGGTGGAAAAGTTTCATGATAGTGGTATTGGAGTGTGGGTTTAAGGTCTAGAATTTATAAAGATTCCTATAACTTAACAATAAATAATACAATACTGAAATGTGCAAAAGACTTGAATAGACATTTAACCAAAGAAGATCTACAGATAGTCAATAAGGACATAAAAAGATGCCTAATATCATTAGTTACTAAGATAAAGAAAATACAGACTATAATGAGACACTACTTCACACCCATTCAGACAACTATAATAATAATAATAATAATAACAACAACAACAACAACAACAACAATAAGAGACAGCATGGATTTAGGGAAATGGGGAACTCTCATACATTGCAGATGGGAACGTAAAATGGTGTAGCCAATCTGGAAAACAGTTTGGTGTTCCTCAAAAAGGTAGATAGAATTACCACATGACCTAGCAATTGCAGTCCTGGACGTATATCCCAGAGACTCAACAGATACTTGTACCTGAATGTTCAGTGCAGCATTATTTGTATTGTTCAAAAGTTGGAAACAACTCTTGTGTCCATCAACAAAAGAAGGGATAAATAAAATGTGGTATGTACATACAATGATACATTATTCAGTCAAAAAAGGAATGAAGTTCTGATACATGCTGCAATATGGATGAACTTTGACAACATGATGCTAAGTGAAATAAGCCAGACAAAAAATGACAAAGGTATGGCTTATTTAGTTCATGAACATGGACAATAGATTAGAGATTACAAGGGGTGAGGGGTAGATAGAATAGAGAGTTTTTGCTTAATAGGCACAGAACTTCTGTTTGTATGATAAAAATGTTTGAAAATAGATACTGTGATGATTGAACATTGGGCTTATAATGAATGAATTGTACACATAAAATATTTAAAAGGACAAATTTTATGTTACATATATTTACTATGATGAAAACAAAAAAGGAAAAAGAAAAAAGAAAATATGCCAGGAAGAACAAATGAGTAAAAAAGCAAAAACAGTGGTCCGCGGATGACTAAGATACTGGAATTTTAAGGCATGGACTTTAAAATATCTGTAATTTAAAACTAGATAACATAAGGTATAATCTTATTAGAGCACTGAAAATTATATAAAGGGGAAACTGGGTGGCTCAATCAGTTAAGTGTACAACTCTTGATTTTGGTTAAGGTCATGATCTCATGGTTAGTGAGATCAAGACCCGCCTCAGGTTCTGTGCTATGTGTGGAGGCTGCTGGGGACTCTCCCTCTCTCTCTCTCTCTCTGGCTCTCCCCACTCTCTCTATTTCTCAAAATAAATAAATAAACATTTTTTAAAACTATATAAAAAGAATTAAATGAAAGCGCTAGAACTAAAAAATACTATACCTGAATTTAATAATCAGTTGATGAAGGATTAGAAATATTAGAAGAGAGAATTAACAAATAAAAAGATGGGTAAAAGAGCTCATGGATAGAGAAAACAGATTGGTCGTTGCCAGAGGCTGGGTTGTGGGATGGGGGAGTGGTGCAAAATGGGTCAATGTGGTCAAAAGGTATAACTTCCAGTTCTGAGGATTTATATCATGATGATTATAGTTAATAAATACTGTATCGTATATTTAAAAGTTGCTATGAGAATAAATCTTAAAAGTTCTCATCACAAGAAAAAAATTGCAACTATGTAAACTATGTATGGTGATAGATGTTAAATAGACTTATTGTGGTGATCATTTCATAATATACACAGATACTGAATAATTATGTTGCACACCTGAAACTAATGTAACATTGTATGTCAATTATATTTCAATTTTTTATTTTTTAAATGTTTTTATTTATTTCTGAGAGAGAGACTGAGCAAATAGTGAGAGCGAGGGAGACACAGAATCTGAAGCTGTTTCCAGGCTCTGAGCTGTCAGCACAGAGCCCACCACTGGGCTTGAACTCATCAACTGTGAGATGATGACCTGAGCTGAAGTCAGATGCTCAACCGAATGAGCCACCGAGGTGCCCCTATATTTCAACTTTTTAAAAAGATAGGTAACAAAAAAGATCCAGATAGAAGCACAAAGCAAAAAAAATTAGAGTAAACAGTAAAAATGAATGGGACATATGAAAATTCTAATGGCAACTTCAGAAGAGATATTAGCTTAAAATATTCAAAACTAATCTAAAGCATTAAAACCACAGATTTAAAATATTCTAAAAAATGTATACAACATAAATACATAGAACATCAGATCAGTTAAATCTGATGAAAACCAAAAAAAAAAAAAAAAGAATACCTTATATTCTTTCGGAGAAAGCTCCTTGAAAGAAACAAACAAGGGGCGCCTGGGGGGCTCAGTCAGTTAACAGTCTGACTTAGGCTCAGGTCATGATCTCATGGTTTGCTGATTCGAGCCCCTGCATTGGGTTCTGTGCTGGCAGCTCAGAGCCTGGAACCTGTTTCAGATTCTGTGTCTCCCTCTTTCTCTGCCCCTCCCCTGCTCATGCTCTGTCTCTCTCTGTCTCTAAAATAAACTATAAATTTTTTTCTAAAATAGAGAAAGAAACAAACAAAATACTGACCACTGTTTTCTTATCAAAAATGATGGAAGCTAGACCTATAGGAATACATTTCTTAAAAGTTCGAAGAGAAAATAATTGCCAACCTGGAACTCTGTGACTTAAAATTTTCCTTTTAAAATATAGTTAAAATTAATGTAATCCATTAAAATAAGAACTATGAATGAAAAAAATGTAGGCAAATATCACAATTTTAGTAAAACAGAAATTGACAGAATATTTCACTGGGAGAATCACACTAAAAATAATAATAAAGGCAAAAATTCTCCAACAGAAGAAAATTCATTCCAGTTGAAATCATGGTAATGAAAGAAAGGAATGAAGATTTCCGTAAAGGTTAGGTATATGCCTAAATCTAATTTTGTGCTGACTGTGTAATGCAATAAAAATAATAATGTCTTCTGCAATTTAAAATACATAAAGAATATAATTTAGGACAATTATAAGGTGAATGTAGTCGGAGTTCACACTTAACTGCATTTTCTGAGATTTAGTAGAGAATGTCAACTTAAAGAGAACTAAGTCAAGGATGTATATTGAATGTCATAAGCTCTAATATAGCAGTAAAATAAGAAATAAGGGAGGGGCACTCGGGTGGCTCAGTCAGTTAAGTGTCTGACTTCAGCACAGGCCGTGTTCTCACAATTCGTGAGTTCAAGCCCTGCATCAAGCTCTGTGCTGACAGCTGGGAGCCTGGAAACTGCTTTGGATTCTTGTCTCTCCTTTGCTCACACACTGTCTCTCTCTTAAAAATAAATAAACATTAAAAAAAGTTGTTTAAGAAATAAGAGATAGAACTAACAAATTATAATGTGAGAGGAAGAAATATAGTAATGATTTTCAAAATCCTAACATCTGAGAGAATATCCGTAAGAGAAGAAAAAGCAACACGGGACAAGAAAAATTAAATTATAACATAATTTATTATATCTTTAAAATTTAAAGATGAAGTCATTAAGTAGGAATGAAATGAAATATCATAAGGAATATATTGTTTAAAATCCAACTATATGTTGCTTACATTAAACATTTTAAATATGAGGGGGAAAGGGCTAAAAAATAAACAAATGAAAAAAATATACACCATGCAGATACTATTTTAAAAATAAAAGCTGGTATGGTTCTATTAGCATCAGGCAAGGTCAACACTAAGGCAAAAATGTGGTCCATTTTCTAATTGGGTTCTTTGGTTTTGTTCTGTAGCCTTTGAAAGTTCATTATATATTCTTAACACAAGTCTTTTCTGTAACGTGACTTGCAAACATTTTCTCCCAACCTGTAGCTTGCATTTTCATTCTGTCTTTCACAGACAAAAACCAAAAGTCCAATTTATTATTGTTATTTTTTTTTAATGTTTTATTTATTTCTAGGAGAGAGAGAGAGAGAGAGAGAGCGTGAGCAGGGGAGGGTCAGAGAGAGAGGGAGTCACAGACTGAAACAGGCTCCAGGCTCTGAGCTGGCAGTCAGCACAGAGCCCGACGCGGGGCTCGAACCCACGAACCGCGAGATCATGACCTAAGCGAAAGTCGGACGCTTAACCGACTAAGCCACCCAGGCGCCCCTATTATTGTTATTTTTTAAAGGTATAGCTAGTTTTGCTATTATCATGTCCAAGAACTTTTGGCCTGGCCTCAGGCCACAGAGATTTTTTGCTATATTTTCCTTAACATTTTATAGTTTTATGCTTTCATTTAGATCTATGAGCCATTTTGAGTTAGCATAGAGGATTTTTAGTAGGAATGTAGTTTGACACTCAATAGCTTAATCTCATGTTATGGAAATTAACCATTTACAATTGGTTTTAACATAATATAATCTTGTTGTGCAAGAAAACTACTCTTCGTTTCTTTTTTTTTTTTTCTTTAATGTTTGTTTATTTTTGAGAGATAGGGAGACAGAGCACGAGCAGAGGAGAGGCAGAGACAGAGAGACACAGAATCCGAAGCAGAGTCCAGGCTCCGAGCTGTCAGCACAGAGCCTATTGCTGGGCTTTGAACTCATGAGCTGTGAGATCATGACCTGAGCTGAAGCTGGACACTTAACCGACTGAGCCACCAGGTACCCCACTCTTATTGGAGAAAACTATCTCTTCTCTTGGTTTTAGAATTGTCAGTCAACAAAGCATGTTCTTTTGCTTAAAATTTGGGACAATTCAATCTAGAGCCTTGATGATAAACACTCACTTCTTCAGTCCATCCTAAATGAGTGTCTCCACCACCTTCCTTAGTATCTCTGTAGTAGCAGAGAACATATCCATGCCTTCAATTAGGCTTCAATTAGGCTAAGCAATCCTTTCAGATGGGAACCAGGACTTTTACCATTGTTCCCACACTTCCACACAATATATTATACATCCTTGGTACTCAACAAAATGCATTCAACAAATATTCGATATCCATATCTCTTCCACTATTTGTCCCTTCCTGGCCCACTATACTTCCTTTCTCTTGATATCTTTAGTTAAAAAAGGTGGGGGCAGGGTGCTGCTCTTGATATAGAGCAAAAATATTCTAAGGAAATTTCTACTTCACATTTAAATAAATGGTTCACTGTAGAGCACATGCAAATTAAACAGAAATATTGTGGGGGAAATATAATGAAAAACAATATCTCCCAACCCAGAAATCCTCTTCAGGAAGGTAGTGGAGAATGATAAGCAGCTTTATTATTGAATGAGAAGTAAATCCAGATGTGATTCACATCACAGATTGCAGGGAGAGAAAGAAATCTCACCCTTTTACACAGCTGAAAACCTAAACACAGTTTTCATGATAAATGATAACTAGTCCTCCGGTAAAAAGACTTGGTAACTCCATTTGTCACACAGAGTTAATCTTTACTTTACCTGTTAGTTAGAGTGGACCTAAGATGAAAAACAGACTCTTTACCTCCATGACACAAGGTAATTTTGTGTCTTGGAGCATGCATACACCAATGTTAGTCCCCTACCCTCCCAGAGAAACTGGAAGATAGGGGTGTCCGTTTTTGATGTTTACATTTCAGAGATGGCTCCACATTCTTGAGAAAGGCATTTTTGGGTCATAAAGCTAACAAAATAAATGCCTTTCTAGTCTGCAGAAATTTTACACGCACCTCAAAAAGATGAGAAAGTACTTATAATTACATGTTTTCCAAGGTAATGTTCTAAGAAAAAGGAGAGGAGGGACATATCCGCCCCCCCCATTTTCAACAGGGATAAGTAAGTCTTTTGTTCTCCTACATCATATTGTCTGCACAATATATAAAGTAGGTCTTAAATTTAGTTAATCTGTCAAGTAACAAACTAAAACAATTTGGTGATGCATTTTGATGTCCAAGAATTGGAGGAGTTCAGCGCCTCGTAAGCAGAGGAGATCCTTCCAGAGATATTTTGGGCAAGAGCAAGTTTTATAGAGCATTAAACAGGGCAACTCAGAAACAGGGCGTGGATTTATGTTATTGAAGTGACTTTAGAAAGCACCTTAGGATGGAGGCTGGCTGCCAAGAGAACTGACAAGAAACAGAGTTGGAACTTGCAGTCCCACCCCCTGACTTCTGGGGAGGGGCGAGCAGCTAGAGGTTGAGCCAACCATCAAGGGCCAATGAGGTAATCAGTAATGCCTATATGACAGAGCCTCCATAAAAGCATAAAGGATGAGGTTTAGAGAGCTTCTAGGCTGGGGAAACAGAATGCTTCCTTGTGGAAGCCCAGTCTGGGCTTCAAACTCCATAAGGACAGAAAGTCCTTTGCTCAGGACCTGTCCTATGTATCTCATCATCTGGCTGTTGATTCATGTCTTTTAATATCCTTTGTGATAAACGGCTAATCTAGTGAATAAACTGGTCTTCTAAGTTCTGTGAGCTTCTCCAGCAAATTAATCAAACCCAAGGAGGAGGTCATGGGAACCTCCAATTTATAGCCACTCTGTGATAAGTATAGGTAACAACCTGGGGTTGGGTTTGGCTTTTGAATTGAAAAGCAGGCTTGTAGGATGAACTTTTAACCTCTGGAATTTGATGCTATCTCTGGGAAAATACTGTAAAGACTGAGTTGAATGGTAGAACACCCAGCTGATGTCTGAGAATTGCTTGCTTGTATATGGAATCCTCAATCCCTCCCCACCCATGTTGGAATTGGGTACGTAATCCTCACTATCCACTTTTAATATAATACGCACTCAAATTAATAAATCACTGTTTTAGGGATTGTGCTTGAAGCTCAGCATAGATGAGAGGTAAGGGAGGCAAGTGGAGACCAGATAATGAAAAGCTTTGTCCATAAAGAGGCTGAATTTTATGCTGATAGTTTCTGACCAAGACTTCTCATTGATTTCCAGCTAAACTGGGCATTGCAAGCCAGAAGTGGGAGACAGAAAGAAAACAAGAAGAGGTAAGAGTTGGGATTAAGAAGTAGTATTAACTTCTGCTCTCCTCCTCCCCCACCAGCCAGGAGCAAGCTGTTTCTGCTACTTTAACTGTTTTCTGCCCTGTCAAGGATGTAGCAAAATTTATTAGGAAAGACTTCTCCGAGTAAAGCATTTGCTTCCAACTGTGAATTTGACTGCTGTTCTTTGAGTCACACAGAAACCTCTGCTGGTATACATGGTTGCTGTTTCAAGAAAGAAAAGAAAAGTCTATATTTTAGAAATTATAGGGGAAGCACGCCTTTCTTCTCTCAATCTGTGGAACAAAGGGAATTATGTAAGCAGGGAAATAAATAGGATGTTTAGGAGAGGCAAACTGACCTCCTACCTTTCAAATATTGATTATGACAGAGAGTAAGGAAACTATTACATATAAGCCCAAAATATATTTAATAATGTTCAAAAAGTCCTTGAGGAAGACAGTAATATTTCAATACCTATTGAAAATACTTAAGATTATCTAAAACATGTTAGGAGGGAAAATGACATCAGAACGTGCTGAAGCACTTTACATTGGAGAATTCCTTGTTGTAGGGACCATCCCGTGTATTGCAGGATGTTTATCGGCTTCCCTGTCCCCTACTTGTTAGATGTCAGTAGAATCCTCTCCCAGTTGTGACAACTAAGAATGTTTCCAGAAATTGTCAAATGATCCTTGGTGGGGAGGGGGACAAAATCATCCCTAGTTGATAACCAATGGCTTATTAGTAACATGTGAAGAGATATTTCCTGCACCTTCAGCAATTAAACCCCCACTTGATGGAGTGTTCAAGTCTAACCCAGATCCAATTTAGAAAATTGAGGTACAAATCCAATGATATTAATGCACAGATAAATATTCCCGACCATAAACAGCCTAGATAAAGATCAGTGAGTTGAGGCTTGAAGACAGACTTTCATAAAAAGATTAATAACACTCACACTACTGATTTTTTTTCTGAAGCATTAAATTGTATCTTAGTATCCTTAAAAGTTAACACTTTGCAAAATCTATCAGTGATGTATTCCTTTCTGGGCCCAATAACCTGGCTCACAGTAAAACCCTGTGACCCTCAGACAGGATAGGGGAATATAAGGCAACAGCAACCTTCATATATAATTCCTGTTCATTCCACAGACTCACACAAAACTTAGGCGGTCAGGATCTCTGAACTCCAAATGCTGCTGATTCACAGTGTCTCCTCTGACTATGACCCTGACTTATCTTTGCAAAATTTGAAATTCATTTTCTCCAGAATGAACACCCTTGGATCTAAAGGTAAATTTGGTTCCATAAAAAAAAGTCAGGGAACTGACTAACCTCTAACCACTCTGAGTTTGACTTCTATAGATCTCATTTCAATTTTTTGCCTCTAAAGAGCCTTAAATCTAACATACTTATTTAAATTTGACAGTAAATACTGGCACCTTCCCCAGTGTTCATAACTCCATTTCTAAATGTATTTTCGGTGACATATTGCTTGGGTAAAATTTATATATTCTATATTTATGGAAACAACTTCACTCTCCAACAATAAGGAGATGGTTAAATAAATCGCTTTACATCCATATACAGTCACTTAAAAATCATAGCGAGAAGAATAATTAATGACATATGCATGATATAACGTGGAAGTTACAAAAGCAAAACAGAAAACTATATATATTTGGTTTTTATTTATAAGTATATACATATAGGACTGAAAAACATTTTTACCTATCAACATGACAAATATTCCAATTCACGTATTTATTTTACATTTATCCTCTGCTTGCTTCAAGGCCTTCATGCCAGAAATGAAGAAGGAGCTGCATGTTCAGAACAAGACAGACTTGCTGGGCCCGACCCACCTACTTCAGCCTTCTCATTCATGGTGAACCTCTACACTCTTCATTCTTGTCTCCAGTCCCAAGAAATGCCGGACATCTTTTACCTTCAGCAGATGCTAAACTCTATCTGGCTCTGTCTATCTTCTTTTAGGACTAATTCCCTGAAACTCTTTCATAATTCATTTGAGGACTTAGCTCACTCATCAGTAAAAGCTCCTTTATACTCAGCCACTTCTGTCGACATTGCCTTTCACTTTTTTCCTCTAACAGGAATCTGGCTCTCTCTCCTGTGACATCATTCCCTTAAATCCACTCATGTGAAAATTGAGTTGATCATTCCATCCCTTATACTTCTCAGTTTTCAGCTGGGCTAAGTGTCTTTTTTATTTCACATTGTCACACACAAACTGCTCTGCCCTCCTTACCCTTAAAGACTTGCTGTTTCCTGGGGTGCCTCGGTGGTTCAGTTGGTTACGTGTCCAACTCTTGATCTCAGCTCAGGTTTTGATGTTAGGGTCATGAGTTCAAGCCCCACATTGGGTGTCCTGTCCAGTGTGGAGCTTACTTTAAAAAAAGAAGAAGGCCTGCTCTTTCCTTAAAGCACATGCCTTCCAAGTATACCACTCCCTCAACATCCTTACTGGGCAGCAGTTACTTACAGTGCTCCCAGTCATAATTCTCATCAGTTCCTTGATTTGATGCATGTGTCAATCATTTTGATCATTCTTTGCATAAATTTTTTCCCTCCTATCATTACCTAGCCTCAACCACAACTCTAGTCAAATCCAACTCTCTTCACATACAGTTAGAATATTGAATCAAGGTGTGAATCCACCATATCGGAAGAAATAAATAAATTTTTACTAGACACTGATCAAGGAATTTAGGGTCAGTATTGTGTATAGTAGTTAAAAAAGTAGAAACCCTGAATTTTCAGCCCTAAAGGAGTTGTAAATAAAACAAAACAAATGAGGAAACAATGTGACCTGATAGTTGTTTGACCACAAACTGAGGTGACATAAGAGTCCAGGAGTGTACAGACAAAGGGTGCAGAGAATGCACATGAGCCTGAAAGGCAAAAGCAGTTCTCCTCACAGTCTTAAAATGCAGCGCCTCCTCATGTCAGTGATTTCATAGTGAGAAAAGCCACATGCAGTGATATGCCCAATAACCAAGAGTGGGATTAGTCATAAGCTCCCCAGGTTCACCTGGGGAGACAATCTGAATAAGACTTTGGCAAGGGTTTGAGCAGATAACAAATGATGATTTTCAAGGGGATGAACTGAGGTGATAAGTAAAAATTGATTTTGTTGACAATCTGAGTTCAGATATTTATTTGGCCTGTTGACCTACTGAGTCATCCACTGATGTGGTCATGGCCAGTGAAAACATACTGAATGTTTATCAATCCACTGTCATCTGTGTTTCACCTGGCAACAGTGCGTACATTGAAGGAGGTTCTAGTACTGGAAGACTGTTGAACTCATGGTCCTTGTGACCTAGCTTTGGTCAATCAGGTATTCCAAGCAACTGTATTGCTATTCCTGCTCCTTTCTATCACTGATAAAGATAAAATATCAATAAGAAAACTTCATAGATCTTTTAGTAAGTTTCAGGCACTGTTCTCAGTGTTTCATATGCACCATCTCCTTAATTCTCACAATCCAGGTAGAAACTATTATAATCACCCTTGCAGTTGAGAATACAGACATACAGAAGTTAAGTAATTTGTCTTGTCACACAATTAGCAGGTAAAGATGAGATTTTATCCCAGGCAGAAGGGCTCTAGAACCCAGGCTTCTACTAAGAAATGCACCAAGAAACATTAAGACTACCCAAGGGGAGAGAAAGAATGGAGTAGTCCTAAATGCTACTCTTCTCCAGTATTTTAAAATTTTCCATGTTCATGTATTACAGGTATATTAAGAAAAAAATTCAGTTATTCTATAGTTTTATTTCTACTAATCACAGAATTTTTCTCACTTCTGGCATGAAGATGGCTTTTGAAACTCAGAACTGTAGGTGATAGAAGTAACACTTAAGTAGGTGCACAGATTAAGGTTAAAAGAGAGACAACATCATCTCTGAGTAAGTTCAGTCCCATGTACAAGTGGGAAGATAAGCACAGGTGAGAAGGGAATGAAGGTCTTTGAGTGTGACATGTAACTCAACGGCTTTGAAGGCCCTCTGTGGGATACCACAGGAGAGGTCTCCATTCTTCATAACTTCCCCACACAATACTACAACCTAATATGTGGCTTCACCATCCTTGGGTCCAGTAGTTAGATCTAACATGAGTTCATTCTATGAGGTTTTGTTCTGGCTCATAAGTACCTCCAATTATCAACAGTGTGATCTTTTTCCCAGAAATACAAAGATCCAGACACACTAGGGCAGGCATGCCTCATTTTCCTCCGAAACTAATTAATCTACGGTCTCCAACCACAAATAACCCATACTCAAACCACCCTTTGCTTATGGGTTTTGCCAATCTAAAAAAAATCTAGTCTCTTCTCTGCTATTACTTTGGTGTACTCCATCACCAAAGAGATTCTAAACTGTTCTAAAGTTAACCAAGTCTTGCACTACTTTTGTATTCTATCCAAAACCTAGCATAGTGTTAAGCAAAGACTTACTTAAACAAATGCATGGTATTTTTTACACAATATGTCTGTTTATACATATATATTATATTCTTTAATTTTGTAAAATAATGATTTGCATTTAACTGTTTTCTCCATTAACACTTCAGAGAAAGGAAGAAATCCACCCTTTTATAATGTAGAGTGCCCACCATTACAGGCTCCTAGTTAACTTTTATCCAAATAGCCTAATGCTGAGTGCTACTTCCAGCCCAAACACCAACAAACTGGGTGACTTTGGGCCAGCTCCATGGTTTCTCTCTCTCTCAGTTTCTTTACCTGAATGGTCTGAACTTTTGTTCATAATCATAAAAAACGATTACTAAGCAACCATATCTCATATTCAACAAGCAATTATTGAATACCAAATTTGTGTCAGGGACTGTGCTAAGCACAGTATCAACACTCTATGGTGACTTATGGATTCATTTGTTGGCAAATGTTCCTATGTTTCCTAAGGTTTATTCTCATTATATTTTAAAAGAAAGAACACCATCAAAAAATGCTTCCTCACTATTATGATCACATATCTACATTTTATTCTCCAAAGGAAGTTATGCGGTCACACCTAACCTACAGAGGAGTGTAAGCCATCTACAAATATAAAAATATAAGAGAATCAGATATTAGTGAAGAGAAACATACCTCCTACAGCATGGCATGATGATTAAGTATTAACAGAAATGAAAAGCAATAAGCATAATGAGTGGGATTAAGCATAATGTCTTCTCTATATGAGAAGACAGTAAATACAAACCACAGTAACAGGAACACAAAATCCCACAGTAAAGATCCATGTGGGCTATTCATTCATTTAGCATTCATCTAACGTTTATCTTTTGAATGCCCACAATATGCCAGGGTTTCAGGAATAAAGCTATCATTTACTTAACAGATTTGATTCATTCCTGAAATTTTATTTAGTGAAATATCATTAAATAAAAATATTTTTTCATTAATTATAAAGAGAACAACTATGGTGCATTCCATCTCAACTCAAAATGTCCAAACAATTTTCACAAATAGGAAAATATACTAATTGAACAATGAAAACAAGTTTAAATGGTTAATATACAATTTTAAAGTAAAAAATTACAATTTGCACATAGATGGAGAGGAAGGGGCTTGTCATAATTGTGGAACCGAAATAAGAAACAGGGTGGCAGGGACCATTATATATGTAGTAGATATTTGAGATGATCATTTAATTTTTCATCTGAACTAGGACAGTTTTGAGAAGTGATGTCAGTGCTATCTGTAAATCACTGAAACAATAAACATAAACCAGAAACATTGTGGGAAAACTTGGAAACATGCCCACCCTACTCAAATGTGATTTTGTTCATGAGCAATCAGGAGATGGATGCTAAAGCTAGTCTTTCAGACTGCATCCCCTTGACATACATGTATTACAAATTTAGTGTACATAGCTCAGCACACATTTATTCTGACAAGAGTGAGATGGCACAGAAGAATTAGTCAGCAGCCATTATTAGTTTGGCCAACTCCTCTGATGTCCCTTTATTCCTCAGAAACATGGTAACCAGCACATCCAAGGAACCCACTGATTTCATTACAACTTTGAGTGGCACCCATCCCTGCCCACAGGATCTTATTTTCAGGCAGGCAGCTCTCGGCTATAAGAAGCCCAGTTAATACTTATTTCAAACTTATATACATAAATGAAGACATCTGTTTACAAAGACCTCAACTCAATAAGATAAACCTATTACACAACTTGATATAACTTGCTTATGTCTTTTGAAGACTACATTAATGGAACTTGAATTCTTGAATCTTACCTGAATCTCACCATCTACATAAAGGGTTTGATGCAAGAGGGTGAAATTATCCTACCTGGGGTAATTCCCTGTTTTGTCATATACAATCTGCTTGGATGTGAACAAATTATTGAATCTATCTAAGCCTCAGTTTCTTCATCTGCATGGTGAAATTAACAATGCTTTTGTTTCAAAGTTATTGAAAGAATTAAGTGAGTCAAGGTGTGTAAAGTGTCTGGTATATTATTAATCATTTTCTTCCCTTTCAAAAATATAAAAGCACCAATACAGGGACCAATATGGTGACAAGGGAGGTTCCTGAGTTTCCCTCCTCCCATGGACACCAAAAGTACAGCAACATATGAAACAACTCCAAGAGAAATCCAGAAACTAGCTGAGTGACTTATATACATCAGACAACTAAAAGACTTAATTAAAGCTTTAGCTGGACTAGGAAAAAAGAGAAAATTCAAAAAAATAAAATCAGAAATTAAAGATAACAAAAATACTAGGAATTATAACAAACTACCATGAACACTTATATTCCAACAAATTAGATAACCTAGAATAAATTCCTACATTCATGTAATCTACCAAGGCTGAATCATAAAGAAACAAAAAATCTGAACACCAATTACCAGTAACGATATTGAATCAGTAATCAAAAATCTTCCAATAAAGAAATGTCCATGACCAAATTGCATCACTGGCAAATTCTACCAAACATTTCAAGAAGAATTAGTAACACCCCTCCTCAAACTCTTCCAAAAAATAGAAGAGGAGAAACATTTCTAAACGGCTTTA